TGGCTGAGCGCTGAAGCTGATTGCTGAGTATTTCCATTGTGCTTAAACAGGCACACTTTAAATGCACAGGTAACCAGATGAATCAATTGAAAAATTTGTTGAATTTCAGGATCTGCGTGCGGCCAGAGCTTTAATATACAGACTTCTAAGATTTCCAGGTTCATATTCTGGTAATGCATTTGTTATTTGAAAATTCTAATATGGTGCTGAAAGTGTTTAAATTTCATAAAACATCTATTTCATAAAAGTTATTTTCAACTGCAGTCTTTGAATCCGTGTTGTAATGGCAGGAGGTATGGTGTGACAGATTCTGGCTTGATAGCTCAGAGTTGGAATGTAAAAATATTCAAATAATGGATTTGAGTTTGAATACTGAATCAATGGCATCATTAAATAATTACAGGCAACATGCAAGCGATTTAGCTTATCTTAATATATCTAACTAGACTGAACCAAAAGTCCATCTATTTCATTGTTCAGTTTGGTTTTTGTCAATGGTTGTGGTATTTTTGCCTCCACTCTTCTATATGGAAATTAAATATTCTTTGTAAGAAGAAAGTACTCCTGGCAATCCACCAGTATTTACTTGTTTAAACATGTGATCTGTAAATTTACCCAAAATACATGTAGCTTTGAGCTAAACTGATAGCCTTTCTTGTGGCTTACCTCAATCCACTTAGGATGTCTCATCCTCAAAACAAGGTTTAAGTAGGTTTGTAGCAGGGACCTTCCATGATGAATCTCTATCTTATATCAAGTTCTGCTCACAATCGACGTGTGTTTCATATGATCCTAATACCTTCAGTTTAAAATTCATAACATCGAAATTAAATCTTGTCTGGGTGCAACTGCTCCACTTCTACAATACCCATACTCTAATCTCTCCATTTCACTGGATCTTGAATCCTGTGCATCCACCTGTCTTAGCCCTGTTATTGGTTTCAGTAATCTTGGCTCCATGATCAAAATTTCCTATGCTAAATGTCTCTACCTCTTGTTTTGGTCTATGTAAGAGCAATGTTGTTCACTCTGTTGCTGTAAAAATGATATTCAGCTTTATTAATTAATTCTATTAGTTTACCCAACATTAAACTGATAGTGGTATATTATGTGTGTCTTATTCTTCATCCTTTTTGTCTGCAGAATTTGGCCACTTGTCAATTGAGTAGAAATGACCAGTGGCTTCCTTGTATCAATTATCACTTACTCTAGGTTCTAATTCCTAGTTTTCTTTGCTATTCTGAAATTAAAGTTTCATTCTTGCTGCTTATCCAGTATATGGTAACGGATGCATAGAAATTTCCACCAATTAAATATTGAGAAGATTGCAGTTATTATTTTTGATCCCTGCCCCAAACTCAGTTCCTTAACTACCAACTCAATCCCCCTGTGGCTAAAGTCTGAGATAAAACCAGTCTGTCCACAGCCTTGGCATCATATTTAATCCTGAAGTGAGCCTCTGACTTCACATTCTCGTACTATCTCTAAGACTGGATATTTCCACTTCTGAAATATCACATAACTTCATCCCTGTATCAGCTCATCTGTTACTGAAATCTCATCCATGACTTTGTTATCTCTAAACTCAAGTACTCCGATGTACTCTTGGTTGATCTCCTACATTGCGCCCTCAGTAGATGTGAGATCATCCAAATTATGCTGCCCATCTCTTAAGTCCCATTGTCTTCTCATCCTAACCTGTTTGTGTCATTTGTGGCTCTGATCCCTTCTTTGGTTACCTTCTAGGTATTGAAACAATGAAAGAACTGTTTACTGTTTGCATCTGCAGCTTTTTTTTCCAAATAATGTCTTGTCTTTCTGAAATATCCTTCTAGCATATTTCTTCATGTTTTATATTAATCCTTGAGAACTCCGTCTTCTCCTTGTAGCATCTTAGTTAATTTGATTCTGTTCTGTTTAGGGGTATGTCTGTATTTGTGTTGCATGTGTAACATTATACCCTTAAAAATATACCACTGCTCCATTATGGAAATATTGTTGAACCTGCTCCTCCCATCTTTTCTTTGAAATGATCTCTTTTAAAACTATAAACCTTACCATGCATAGTGTTCATTTGCAAGCTTCAGTACAACTCAGAATATATTGCATTTTAGACAGTTAAAGTTGTCTTGGAAACTTGTGCCAAATCACAGACTGACACAAATTCATATTTGTGTGTGTTCTTCACGTCAGTTGGCAGTGTCATGATCCCAGCTGTGATGCTGACATCACCTATTTACATCCAATTCAGCATAACATGCCCTGACCAGGGGCAGTGACAAAAATTTCATTTAAATAGGCATCTCCATGCACAAGCAAGGTTCGACATTCAGTTAAATCAGGAACCCCCCCCCCCCCCTCCGCCGCCAGATCATAATATATTAATAGTTTATTACTGTATGAAACTGGCATAGTGATGTGTGGGCAGAGGTACCGAATACCACGGCAAATAAATGCTTGAGGTATGGTATTGTTTTAAATAAAGAGCAAAAATTTCTCCCTCGTGGTTAATCATAATAAGTAATGAGGCCAGAACAGCCAAATCCCAAGCTCCAGGCAGCATGGGAACAGATCACAAGCAGCCTTTTCAATCCCAGCAGCATATAGGTTTTTAAAGTGACATTTGCCATCTGTTTGAGGTAATTCTGTAGAGCAAACATTGACCAAGCAACCGATTGAGTACTCCAGCATCACTTTCTAGGTAGGCCTTCCAGTAGCTGTAGCTAACGGACTTCAGTATCTAAAGCATGTGTTCACTAGGCTGATTACAGATGAAGCAGCATGCTATCATTAAAGGGGTAGAAGGGTTAAAAATGTGAGTTGTCACATCTGCCAACATTAATAGACTTCTGGTAAAGGCCATCACACCCCCTGACTGCATGGGGGAAAAAAAAGCAAGATTTGGGGTCAAAGAATGTGCAATTCAAGTTCCTGAAAGAAATTTCAGCAGCAAAAATCTTGAGGAAACACCATACCTTTTGCCGATTTTGTTAACATGGATAGTGTGTCTGGCCTTCCTTTCTGTCTATGCTGAAAATTTATGATGCAGTATGTATCAAAATGAATCATTGCATAACAAAGTGTATGTCAGCTATTAAAGGTGACACGCAACTGATGCTTTTTTGCCCCAGGGACTAAGACTTATCACATTGCTGGACCAACTATTTAATATTCTGTTATGTAATGCAAAGTTGTTACTTTTGTATGTATGTGATTTATTAAAATTATTTATACATTGAGAAGCCTTCATTGTTTTTAATACAGTAGAACTTGTCAGCATCACAACTTGAATAAGCACAGGTTAATATTCTGGTGTTATGCACCATTTTCTATTGTAAGCACAGTTTAATGATTGTAGTCTTGAACTGAAACTTGAGGTGAAACCCAGCATTGCATATTAAACAATTTGCATGTTCCTTCACCAGTCTTCCTACCATGGGTACAAATAGGAAGGCAGCAAAGCCCCTACCCATCACCCTGCCAGCTGACTAAATGAGCCCTCTACCAAATACACCTCAGCAGTGGGCATTAAACTTGTCATCATGCTAGATCAGTAATTTTCAAAATGCATATAGAGGCATTGCAAGATGCAGAAAAATTTCACAAGGATGGTACCAGGAATTTGTGGGTAAACATCTCAGGAAAATATTGAAAAGCTGTGTCCCCTATTTCTTGAGCAAAATTTGGAGGATGACATACTTGATTTGTCTGAAAAACTTTTGATAGAGTGAATAGAAATAGAAAGTTTCCACGAGGGGAGGAACATTACTAGACGCCAAGAATATGACATGATCACCAATAAATCCAACTGAGAATTCAGACTAAATTTATTTCCCTACAGATTAGAATTCACTACTTTAGAGAGTGAGTGAAGGAAACAGTATAGGTGTATTCAGGGGGAAGCAGGATAAGCACATGAGGAAGATAACAACAGAGGGTTATGATAAAAGATTTACATGAGGAATGATAGGAAGCAGCTTGAGTGGAACATAAATATCACATGGACTGGTTGGGCCAGTTTGCTATTTTGGTGCCATTTATCCTCAGTATGACCTTTAGAACTTGACTGGGATGAAATGCATCTTTTCTTCATAATGGCCATAATGTCAAACAAAGTAAACTATCTGGTTTTAGAAACACGCCTAATCCATCTGGAGTTTGGCAGGAAAGCGCAATGCTTCTCAACTTCAAATTTTGTCACCTGTTTATTTAACTGAACACAAAGCAAAAATAGTAAATAAGCTTTTAACTGGCCCACTATCCTAAAATAAAAGTTGTCTTGAAAGAAATCTAAAATGGATAAAGATAACTTTGAAAACATTTCCCAGGATGGACTTTGGCTTAATACATTTACAGTACAATAGGCCGAATGGCTTCCTCTTTACACCTTTTGTGTATCATCTGCCAAATTATTTTGGTTCATTCATGGGATATGAGCATCATGTGCTAGGCTAGCATTTATTGCCCGTCCCTTTCTTAAAACGCTATAGTCCTTGGGCTTTAGGTATACCATCAGTGCTATCAAGAAGGGAGTTCCAGGATTTTGATCCAGTACCAGTGAACAACCAGCAATTACAATTCTAAGTCAGGATGTGTGGCTTCGAGAACTTGCAGATAATGATGCTACTGTGCTTCTGCCCCTGTCATGAGCTACAACCAAGTGAGGAGAGGTGTATCAGTAAGAAATCTATTATAAGGGTCTTTTCAGTGATAGAAAAAGCAATTTAAAGTTTTGCCAACCTTGAAAAAATTAACAAAAACATGGAGTCAAGCATGCACAAGCACTGCGTTAAAAGGGGATCCTGTCCAGTTCAAAAACAGGGCAAAAGGAATACAGTCCTCAGAGTGTCCTTAAGATATACAGTTTAATCTGAGGGCATGTTGTTTAATTTATATCTTGTAACCTCAGCAGTAGTGAATAATTCAGTTGTTCTTTAAATTCTCCTTGTTCAGATATTTCTTTTGTATTCAGTTATGTCACCAGGCACATTTCTTTCTTGAGGGCCAACTGATCATTTTCTCCAACTGGTTGAAGTCACAAATCCGTCTCCCTGCTCTGCCAAAAGTAGCTTCCTGAAATAAAGCTTGTTTGTATAGTCCAATGTCTGAGTTTGTGTTTCCAACATTGATAATTGTGAAACTAATCATCAGGGCAGCACAGTGGTTAGCAGGGACCCAGGTTCAATTCCCGCCTTGGGCAAATGTGTGGAGTTTGCATGTTCTCCTCATGTCTCTGTGGGTTTCCTTCCACAGTCCAAAGATGTGTAGTTAGGTGGATTGGCCATGCTAAATTAACCTACAAGTGTTCAGGGATGTGCAGGCTACATGGGTAAACTATGGTAAATGGGGGTGTAACAGGGATACTGCGGGATGCCCTTTGGAGGGTCGATGCAAACGCAATGGCCTGAATGGCTTCTATCTGTACTGTAGGGATTTTATGATTTCTGGCTATAAATCAAAATAGGAAACGAGGGTTTCTTCTTAGCTGACTGGGTGGACGAGTTTCAGTGCCCATTGTTAAAAATGTTAATTTCAGCTCAGAAGATGTTGCTTATTCCTCAATAATTTTACAGTGGTTGGCTAACCTGTGAGGTCAGCTGATTGCAGTGGCCATTTTAAGTTAGTACTTTTTTTTTCCTTTTTAAATTAACTTCAGTCCATGGATGACCCAGGTACTGAAATCAGATGATGGAATTTGAAAATCGATAGTCCATATCATATCACGATAATGTCACCTTCTAGGTAACAGAGGTCATTGCTTTGAAAATTGCTGAAGTACTTTCTGCTGATTTCTTTTCTTTCATTTCTTAAATAAGCTACTGTGGATGCTAGTGATCTGGAAATGAAAACAGAAATTGCAAGAGCCTGCAGGTCTGGCACCATCTGTGGAAAGAGAAAAATATTTTGAGTTCTATATTCCTTGAAACTGCAGAGAAGTAGAAATCTGATTTGTTTATGCTGTTGAAATGGTGATGGGGAAGGGGATGATCAGTGGCAGATTACAGAGAAGCAGAAATTTGTGATTTGGCTGCGCAGACTGGACAGCATTGGAGAGACAGATCTGCCTAGCATCTCGAGCCGACTGAATTACAGCCACTATAGGACTCACACCAGGGCCTTTGACTCTCCCAAACTAGACCTACATGGCAGTGGCTCCAATTTCATCCACAGCTTGCACTTCTACACATGCCAGGTTATGTCCGCATGCCAGGGGACATGCATAACACATGTCTGGGGCCAGGGTTCCTCCAAGATTCTCTGCCATTCAGCCAAGGAGCACAAGGTGCCAATTTACCTTCTGACACCATGAAGAAGCACTGCAGGTGGTATTGGATGCAGAGGTTATATATTGACAGGACAGACTTGCACTCACTGGCGCTCTTCACAGTAAGCTAGCCAGCAGTAGTGGATCATGCAACTACACTTTACACTTAACAGCAATCTTTGTCTTTGTCATTGGTTCGACATGTTCTCCCAGCAATGGCAACTGCTTAATGGTCAAATGGGAAAAAATGCTTCTTACCAGATTTGAGAAAATATGGGAATGTTACTATATATCAGAAACAGAACGTGTATGTTTCACTGCACTTGACATTCAACTTAGCAAGAGAGCTGTGCAATTTTCAAATTTTTAATCAAATGTAGGATATTATCACTATTCCTTATATTGCTGCAAACACAATGAAGTATTGCTTTACATAGAATCTTTAAAAGGAGAAAACTCAATAGGTGTCTAATCAAACAAAAACTGAAATGGAGACAAAAATAACAGGTGGCCTAAAGAGTGTTTAAAAAAAATGGAAGGTTCTATCGCTGGGTGGCAGTGATTTGGGAAAGGAAGTCCAGAGCTTGGAGCATGGTCAGCTGACAGACCATTAGAAAGTTGGGGAAATACAAAAGACAAGAATTGGAGAATTGTAGAGTTCTAATCGGTTCTAGCCAAAATTACTCTTCACTCATTGAATAAGGAGCAAGGACGATACAGCATCAGTAGTTAACCTGCTGCTTGCACTGAAGACCAAGTGGAGTTTACAACTTCACAGTTCCAAGTCTTCCCACAACAATCTGAAAATGAACAGCTTGTTTTTTGACCCAGTTGGATGATTAGTGACTATCACTCTGTTGACCCAATACAATATTTTCATAACTTGAAATAACTGTCAAAAAGATATTTGAAACCTAACTCTTTTCGATGTATTTTATTGCCACTTTTAAATTCATTCACAGGATGTGGCTATTGCTGACAATGTGAACATTTCTTGACCAAAATTCTAAATTGTCCTTGAGAATGTGGTGGTGAGCCACCTTCTTGAACCATGACAGTCCTTGTGGGGAAGATTTTGTAATGTTTTTGATGCAACTGAGTAGTTGTCAAACTGTTCAAAGGTTAGTTAAGAGTTACCAATTGTTATGGGCACAGAACTGGAACAGGTTGTTAGGACAGAATATTTTATTCCCTAAAGGACATAAGTAATTCAGATGAGTTTTAGTGACAATCAAGTTGTTTCTGTACATCATTAAAAAATGGGATTTGTCTTTGTGTGTTATTATTTCAGGCTTCTGGATTCCTGATCCAGTGGAAATCATGATACTAGCATACCATGTAATAGCAGTATCCTGAAGAGTAATTTTTAATTATTGGAGAGGCCAGGGTGAACCTAGAGGCTTATCAAGCCTAAGACTGAGGTCATCGAGCTACTGCTGATACAGACTGTACAGCAAGTAACTGTCACCAAAAGCAAATCTGTGACAACTTTTACTACCAGACCACCACAGTCATAAGTAAATGGCCAAAACTACAAAACTAAATAGCAACTCTTCAATTTCAGTTACCTTTTTAATTGTCCAGAGGTTAAGCCTGTTGGTGAGGTCCTTAAAGTGATGCCCTAAAGTAAATACTTTCAAGTTGTAGTTTAACTTAATTGCCAAATCCCTTGCTTTTTGAGTTTTGGCATTGAAGAAATTATTATTACTAGTATTCTGAAAATTTACTTGGATTTTAGGCATTCAGAATTTTTCTATTGGCTTTCTCCTTTATAAACACTAAAAATAAAACTTGGAAAACACCGGCTTTTAAATTATGAATAGAAATGATGTGAATGTTCCTCAATTACAGTGAGAAAGGACTTGTCCCCTTTTATGTGAAATGTTATTTTTGAGGAAGAAAATTGAAGCAATTATACTTTCTTAAAGACTGCAATATATTGAAAAATTCCAGATGCTAAGAAGTCCTTTCCATCAGTATCTTATGTTGGAATGTTATTTGGAAATGCCTTCACTTGTGTCTTGGTTGTCTGAAGCTTTGTCATTTTAAGTCAATTCTAAAAATCAAAATAACAAGCCAAGGCCAGCAAAGATTAATCTCTCCCTGTAACAGGACCTCTGAATGTACACAGTTAAAGCAACTTTTTAAATTATGAAATAGTTTTTTAATTGCCACTGTGCTTTTTAAGAGTGCCATAAGATTATATTTCTTATAAAGGTATCACATTATGCAGTTTGTATTAATTGGTGAAATATAGGATTTTCTGATTGCAAGTTCTCACTGTAAAGAATCTTAAACAGCTGTCATCAACAATCCAAAATAAATTGGAAATAACTGAATATTATCCCCCTGTTCCAGACTTTTATCCACTATATTACTGGTTCCAGGTGTATATAAGAACATTCCGCAGTTGATTGGCATGTATTTTCCCCTTGTTCCTGAACATTGACCCTACTATTTGAAACTGACTGCTAAGATATATCTGGATGTTATGTATTCCCATTTATGATGTGAATGCATTGTCACAAATCAGACCTTCCATAAGTAATCTTGACTTGGTTTGTGGCTCAGAGATAGTTTCATCACCAGAGAAATCACCTAAGGATCAATTAGTATGAATAATTTCTTATGTAATACTCATAGAATCCTTACAGTGCAGAGAGAGGCCATTCAGCCCATCAAGTCCGCACCAACCCTCTGAAGACCATCCCACGCAGACCCATTCCCCTAACCCCACATTTACCACGGCTAATCCATCTAGCCTCTAGGTCTTTGGACTGTGGGATGAAGCAGCCACTGGAAAGCCATGGAGACATGGGGAGAACGTACAAACTCCATACAGTCACACAAGACTGGAATTGAAACTGGATCTCTGGTGCAGTGTGTCAGCAGTGCTAACCATTGAGCCATGATGCTGCTCCAGTGCAGCACTTCCCAAGCTGTAAGCTGGAACACCAACTGGGGCCACAGAAGCTGCAAATCAAGTCATAAGCCCCTAACCTCTTGGCGTGCTCCCCTCACTGGTGCTGAGGCTGAGGCAGCACCGGCAGAACCCATCTCCTGTTGTCTCTCTCTCTCCCCAAGTCATATTCTGTGCTCTGTACTTTGTTGCTATATTATGGAAGTGAAACGAGTTAGTAAGGTGGAAAAACATTTTGTCCTTTTTCTTTTTTGAAACTTCCCACTGGATCCAATCTCAGCACTCAGCAGTGTCTTCTCCATTTAGAAATATTGCTTGCAGGACCACAGCTGCCCAATGGCTCAGAACCAGGACCGGTGGATCTGCCATCCCCCAGCTGGTTGTTTTTGACTGGCCGACCTGTGTCTGTGAAGGGAGAGGGACTTCTCACCTCTGCATCATAGAAATAAGAATTAGAATATGTCCCTTGCACGCCGACCCTCACACACTGTAATTAGGCCCTATTCTCACACACACGTTCCATTTGACCAGTTCACTTAATATTACTCCCAACAGTCTTCATTCCCAATAAAACATTTTAGTATCTCTCTTCTGATCAACTTTTTATTAGAACAATGATGTACAGACTGAGGTGGTTTAAACCTAAATGGTTTGACAAGACAATATTACATAGAATTAAAAACAGAAATTACTGTAGGAAACGTGGGGAGTGGAAAGAAAGGTTTTGTTATTTTATTCATTTATTAACAATTTTATTCTGCTTGGAGCATCTCAAAGCACTTCCAGCCTAAGAGCAGCTTTTGCCACTTTACTTTAGGCACGGTTGTTATGGAGACAGCCAAATTCCGTGGCACAGTCTAAACAGCGAATGGTGGTTAATCTGTTTTCATGCTGTTGGTTAGGGGCAAATATTGTCCTGGACACTAGGGGACAGCTTCTCTTCCACAATAAAAACCCTGGAATCTCTTATATCCATTCAGAGGCTGGGGCCTCAGCCAATGTTTAATCAAAAACACAGGGCTACTGTTAGCAGGAACGAAGCTGAATGGGTCTGGGGTTCCGCAAATCAATTTACCAGCAGAGACCCACCTGCAGGTCACTTTGAAGAAGGCTGTGTCAGGGGTGAAATGGCTACCCAACATGCAAGAGCCCGGTAAAAAATCGCCACCAAGGGGCATATTAAGTGCTCTTCCCAAATGGTGGAGGAGCAGGCCTTGCAAAGGTGGTCTGACAGCTGTGGCATTTGTATTCTGAAAAGTTTTAAAAATGCAGAGAGAGTAGTTGCATCTTAAGGCACTCTCTCTCTACCTTATCACCAATGTCAGACTTCAGCTCCTTATGTCCTGGAGTACTTTCTATTTGCTCTCAAGTGCTGGGAGCATGCTTGCCATTTGAGACTGGATGCTGAACATGCCTCTGGCCACTAAGTGGCAATTCAAAAAATCATCCACAGCATGTGGGATCAGAAAGTGGGAATGATACTGACCTCACAGCAAGACCTGCTTCATTCCTTAATGCTGCACAGAACCTACAATCTTCTGACTTGCAAATGAGAGTGTAATGACACAGCTAAGCCAATATTGAAGAACATGAGAACCTACAAAAAATGTAAATGATGTAAATAGAAACAGACAGTGCAAACGACACCAAACTCAACGGGAAGACGCTCTGCCAATAATACAACTGTGAGAGAGCAAG